ATATATGAGTTTGTATGTAATGTATGAATATAATATACAAGTTTCACTTTTTAAATGGAATTAYTGAAATAAATCTACTTTTTCATGATATTCTAATTTTATGACCAGCACCTGTATATCTATATACACTGTAAATTGACTGAACTTAGAACAAGTCCTTCCGGACCCCATTCACACTCATATACAGTACTCATACGGATGATAGCAAACTACATTGTAGCCACTGGGGCACTCTGAAGTGGGGCTGCCATGCACTGGTGCCACTGGACCCTCTGGCCGCCATCAGAAGGCAAGGCGGGTGAAGTGTCTTGCCCAGGGACATGACTGAAACGACTGGACGGGGGATCGAACCGGCGACCTTCTGGTTCCAGGATGACTTCCCTAACCACTCCACCCCACAAAGTCCATGAATATTTGTATTTGGCAACTTACAAGACTATCTGTATTGAAAAGGAGTAGGTTGAAGTAAAAACGTATATTTTCCTGCCCCGTTCTTACTCTTGAAAAGAAAAGAAAAAAAAAACATAGTCTTGGTTTTTATTATTGTGAACCTTCTGATTTTACATTCACAACTATCTCATTTACAGCAGAAATTAAAAATAGCTGTTTCACCTAATCCCTAAATACCATCAACATCGACCAGATAACTTAAAATATTTTTATGTTTTTTTAAAACTGATTTCTATTTTTTCATTGCTTCAGTTCTACATTTAACCCATTTCATAAATCCACCACACACACACTTTTTCTCGTGGTTCGCACACTTTTTTTATTTGATCTCTCCTCTTATAGCTCCCCACTCTATCACAAAACAAGTTTTGAAGATTTCCTGGAAGTTCTTTACTTGCTTCAAACATAAATTGTGCAGTTTTGAATTTAACCAAATCTTTAAATGTGACCATCACGTCGAAACGAGGATTAAGTCCAAACGTGGTACATGGAGAAATAGGCAAATAGTGTTTTGACTAAAATATTCTACACATTCTCACTCCCAAGTCGTCACATATTGACGCTTAAGGTAAGGTTCCCTCTGCGTCTTATTTTGACGCATCAGGTGACCCCCTCGCGTCAGTCCTTGACGCCCGCGGCTTTTCCGGCTTGCGCCACCAGGGGTCTTTGCGTCGGGGGTCTGAGGTTAACATGAGGRATCAGGATTAATGGTTAAGTTTAGGTACTGGGATCAGGGGTAGGATGTCCATGGTGAATATTAGGTTATTTTAGGCTTCAGAACATGTTCACGTGAATTTCGTACATTTTCTAAAAATGGTTAATTTTAGCTACTACGGTCAGGAACAGGATGTCTAAAGTGAACAAAGGTAATTTCAGGCTTTGGAACGGTCGTTTTTGCGCATTTTATACACTTTCTGAAAATATGACAACAGCTTCCGCCCCATCTCGTCAGTAACTGAAGTGACGGGGGTACCCTGCGCGTCAAAATCAGACGTAGAGGGAACCTTGCCAAAGCGTCACTATGTGACGACTTGGGAGTGAGAATGGGTTGAAATATTAGCAAAAATTGCATTTTGTCAAAATATAATGAATAAAAGACTTATCAATGTATCATTTGAATGAACTGTCTGAAATATAATCATAAAACTAAATTTTGAAGCATTTTTGAGCAGTAGCAACAAATAAACTGATTTTGAGGAAAAACGCCTTAAAATTTTGAGATTTTCCCTTTGAGCTAGCAAAGTTTTGTTTCTTTTTAGCTGGGAAAGCTCAATATTCAAATATAATTTGAGGTTTCCTCTTTATAAGGACATCAAAAATTCCTCATTAAAATGACATAAAAGTAGGATTCAGACCAAATATTTATGTATTATTGTAACCAACAAGACAAATTAAGTCATATATATGGAATTAATTATATCAGAATGATCCAGGTATCAAAATGTAGCTTTTAAAGCCAAGAATCTGAAAATGTAACTTGGTCATTTTGACCAAATTTAACTTAATCCTGATTTCCATATGATGGGTCCCAAATTTAAAATATTTGACTTTACAAAAAGATGTTTGTGTGCTCCCTAAACCCCATGAATTATCCTGACTGCTCTCATTTGTAGCTTACAAAGTGGCTGTAGGTTGCTTTTGTATGTGTTACCCCAAATTTCCACACAATAAGACAAGTATGGTAACACAAGTGATGAATTCAGAATCAACAATGCTTTATGGTCCAGTGTTGAGCTTTCCAGAGTATTGCACAACTTTTTTGCCAGTTTTCTTATTTGAATAATTTGTGGTTTCCAGCAGATTTTATGATCTAATACTACATCCAGAAATTAATTTTTTGTTCTTTTTATCCATTTTTTTATTTCCGAATACCATACATTTAGTTTTATTTAAATTTAATGACAATTTTTTAAAATTACACCAATTTTTCAATTTTGTCATTTCTGTGGTGACTCTCTCTAAAAACTGCTGGAGATTATTTCCAAAACAAAAGAAATCATCTGCAAATAAAATATATTTGCACTATTTTGTCACTCTGCAAATATCATTTACATATAGAATGAATAATTTTGGTCCCAATACTGAGCCCTGCGGGACCCCACAAGTTATATTTTTTTAATAATGATGTGTGATTACCGATTTGAAAAAACAGTTTCCTATTTTAAATATAACTTCTCAGCCAGTGTGGCACCACTCCTCTAATTACATATTTTTCCAATTTATTTAATAAAATATCATGATCAATGGTATCAAATGCCTTTTTTAAAGCAATAAATACTCCAACTGCAAAGTTTTGGTTGTCCATTCCATTAATAATGTCAGGTGCATCAATGCCATTGATGTGAATCTTTTGGGGTTTTTTTCTTTAAAGGGTAACTTACCCCAAAATTAATTTTTTTTAGCTGATAAACTGTCTAGAATGTGTCTAAAATGTTATATAGTAC